CAGCGGACCGGCAGTCCGGTCCAGACCGGTTCAGACCGGCTGGACCGATTCAGTCAGTTATTTTCAGTTTCAGCCCGGTTTTCAGTTTCAGTGTTATTTTCAGTTAAATTCTGGGTCAGGTTCAGTTCAGTTAATTAATGCCAACTCAGTTTCATACTTAGCCGGTTTTAGTTATACCGAATAAGTCCGAATATCATGTCAGATTCTATAAAGCATCTTAACATAATTAAACAGTTAAATTATAAGTCTGAGCATAGTCAATAGTAATTGTTTATATTATTTTCAGTTTGATCAGGCATCAGCACTACCATTCGGTTTAAGTTTCAACAAATTCAGGTGGGGACTCAGACTAAGTATTACATGGTTTATAATTACGTTACCATGGTCGAGGTATGTATATTCAGATACCGCTCGGGATGGTCGCCGGTCCATTCTGGGTTCTAGTGGCCTAGTCTAACCACTAGAGTGTGCACATGGTCCGGTATTAGTTTTGCCGGGAGATGTTCAGTTCAGATGTGACTTCGGTCACGACATGACTTCGGTCGCGAGATTCAGTTATCAGTTACGTGACTTATGTCGCGAGATCAGACCGGTTATCAGTTATCAGATATCAGTTTCAGTTCAGATATATGCTTAGTTCATGATCATGTTATTATTTACGATGTTGTACATTAGCATGAGTTTCTGCGGAGCACAGTGCCTTAGTGCTCACGCCCGACATCTTTCATGTTTTTCAGGTCGCAGGGTCGGAGACGAGGAGTGAGCGGGCGAGCTGTTCAGGACATTTATGATTTCTGTATTTTATGTTGAACCACGCTAAAACTTTTCAGTACTTATTATCAGACCTTTTTGTTTTGCCACGCTAGACTTCCGCTAAAACTTTTTATCAGACTTTGCTCCGACGTTAGTCGGATAAGACATTATGACCGTTTTTATGTTTCAGTTTAAATTTTAACGGTTTTCAGAAAATCAAGTTTTAAGTTTTTCACGGTAGCCCCCGAATCAGTTTCGCAAAATAAGAAGTTTATTTATTTATTCAGAAAATTTGCGAAAATCGCGTACTCTGATGTATATAGAAAGTCGGGGTGTTACATCGGTGACTCTACTAATTCTTAACCCTAATTGTGATACTTAGATATGTGGGATATTTGTTTGTTACTTTGATTTACCATGGGTGAGAGCCAAGTATTGGTTCAATATGCTCTGTATCTTGGGTAACAACGTTATCTGCATGATATCTATTTATTGACATTAGGGCACCGTGTCCTGGACATCCAGGTTGATGACGTCCCCTTAAGGAACTCATGAGGATTATCGTATAAACCCTACAGGTGGATTTATTCCGTACGATAATAAGGTTGAGTGGTACTACTTAAGGAATAAAAGATATTAATTAATTAAAGCAGTC